AAGCAGTCGCTAAGACATGTTCCAATATTCATGTTCTACCGAGGCGTGTGTTCTCCTTTTTTTTAGCCGTTTAGCTAGCTGAGCAAGGATACACAGAAGGCGTCTTGTAGCCTAGCCTTGGTCAAAAATTACCCAGAATACACTGCAGTATTTTCAAAAGGATGACGGACCAGAAAACGGCAGCTACTTCGGGGGCAACTTTAAAAGTACCGTAAATCCTCTAATACAGGCCCGGGCCTGTATTTTACTCAAGCTCATCAAGCTCCAGGCGTTTATTGGAAGGAGGGCCAGAATTGGAGGCAGGCCTCAATTTCTATCTGAGCAAAATGAACTACCAGTAGAATGAATAAAAATGGGGTGTGTCTATTTGAACCAATAAAATACTAGGTTCATTTATTGAAAATGTACAGTTACCATAACGTGGTGTGGTTTGCATATAAAACATTAAAAACAATGCTAAATTACAGTAGGGAAATACTGTATTGTAACAAAACAATAGCAAACATACCTGTACTGCATTTTAAACGTTATTAAATACCGGTATTAGAAAAGGCAACAGCCACCTTACCGCTTCAAAGTTGAATTGTTTCGTCTCGTTTGGGTTGTAGTAAAAAATAAAATAAAACCCCTCAATTTCAATTCAATCTTTGTCCAGTTTAATGTAAAAAAAATAAAATACCAGTAATCCAATTCAGTTTAATCCTCATCCAGTTGGATGGGTCGATGTTAAAACGTTTAGCAGCTTGCTCCCCAGAGTGTTCTGCAGCATATATCAGCACGTTCTCTTTGAACTTGATATCAAATTTTCGCCTCCTCTTTGGCTCCGCACCTGCCACGGTTAAAGTGACCCTCGCGGTCTGTCACTGGCCAATCAAAAGTGAGATGGATGACACAACCGCCCCCCTGTGGTACTTGCCTGTTACCACATTCCATCCAGCCACAATAAAAAAAAAGGCCATTATTCACCTCTGCCGACTCCGACACCGGCCAAAATGTGATACCCAGCCGTTAATTGAATACAGGCCAATATTAGAGGATTTACGGTAAGTCAACTAATTTAAAATGGTTTTTTTTAGATCCAAAGAAGTTTTGGTTGGTTGGTTGCTTAGTGGTTGCAGCTTTGGTGGCTAGTGGGTGGTCACTTATATATTTAATTTAATAAACATGTACACAATTTTAAAAGTAAAAGCTTGTTATATATTTATATTGAAACTAATACGTATAAAATATAATGTTGTCCCCTGTGTCACGTAACGTTACGTAACCACCGTGGGAGCCGCGGTCACGTGATGCAAGTCTGTTCCATTTAACAGTTTTCTTTGACCAAGGAAGGACAGTGTCCTGATAAGCAAGGCACCTGGCCTTGCAAGGCTAGGCGCCATGATATTGAGAAACACCCTTTGTCTCTGAAAGTGCCACCATTGGCTGGAATTCCCTGGGTCGAGTGAGGCAAGTGAATCTGACAGGATGGGTCAGCAGCTTCTCAACTCTGGAGATGATAGTTGCCAGTCTGGGGAGGGTGAAGATAATATGCGTAAGCTGTGAGATGGACCATCACTCTTCTACATTTCCCACATCATCACAGTTGCTTCCCACCTGGAGTGGTGCACGGGTGGCAGTACAGCTAAGCCAAGATGTTTGTTGTAGATCGTTAATAAGTAGAAGTTTTGAAGATCTACAGATGTTCAGCAGAGTGCCACAGTGTTAGACTAGTTGGGTAGTTTTGTCCAAACAGCACAGGAAGAGGAGAAAATAAAACTCCAATTAACAAGAAATGCAACCAATTCGATAGTGAAGCATCCATAAACAGCGGCACCACCTTGGACATGGATGTACCAACGTGTGTCTGGGGGGGGGGGGGGGGGGGGGGGGGTGACACACACACACACCCAACGAGCTTACACTGGACCTCCTTAGTTAGTATTTGATCCCAGCTGTCATTCATTGCAAATATGTTGAAACTGTCAAGTGAATGAGGGTAACATGCCTGGTTCTCTTTCATAGCATTCGTTTCGTGTCTCACTATGGGAACGCCTAGGCGTGACCTCATCAGAAGCTCTTATTCCACACTGCCAGCTTGAACAAATCCGTCGGCATATAGGAGGCGGGAACCCCACTTATATATTGGGCCGGCTCCTCACTGACAGTATTCTAAAACCTCTTCTCGCTACGAGCAGAAGTTCCCAAAATCCTCTCGCGTGCTGACTGTCGGACTGGAGCTAGCTAAACTGCCCAAAGGAGGAGTGCGAACTCTACCGCCGGGCGCTGGTCCTGGTCTTACGGTTTTACACGAGAGACAGTCTCACGCTAACCTGCCTTCAAGCAGCAGTGTGAGTTGCAAACTGTGAGGAGTAGCAATACGCTCAACAGTTGGCATTTTACCGAGTAGCATTACTTGAAGGGTAGCAATTCCACCTACACAGGGTAGAGCCGCAACGCTTACCCCACCTAACCACCCTAGACTAGCGTTAGCTGTCTAAACTGTCTCGTTAGCTTCAAAGCTAAACGCCAGGAGGGCCATGGACGCCACGAGTGGTGCCGCTAAGGGGGCTGAAACCCCGCAGGCAAGAACCTGCCCTTGTGGTAATAAAATTTTGAGCTGGAATACTCACCATATGTTTATGTGTCACGGTCTCAAACATGCCCAAACAGCCCTTGAGTCTCCGGAAGAATGCGCTCACTGCAGCCCGTTCTCCCTCAAGGTGCTCCGTCGCCGTCTGGCTCGTCGGGTGACTCTGTCCAGCGGTGACCCGTTACTGGCTTCTACAGCTACGGACCAGCGAGCGGAGGACCAAGCTGCCATGCTTGCCTCCGAAACTCAACCTGGACTGAGCTGGGGTGAAACTCTGGATCTCGTGGACCTGCTCCCACTGGAACTCCTGGACCGCCACCTTGCGGACAGCCCAAAACACTACCACGGAGCAGAGGATGGCGACGATTCTGACGCAGCGTCAGAGCTCCTCATGACAGATGAAGAGGAGGAGGACAGCCCCATTCTGACCTCCTCAGGCCGGATCGCAAAACCTCAGCTCCTGAGCAGTGGCCGTGTCAGCGACGGAGAATCTGCATCACCTGCCCTGGATCTGGATCTGCAGGACGTGAGCAAATGCGCTGCGGAGAAGCTCACATCCCTTGGCCGGAGGTCCAAGCAGAATCGGCACACTCCCACTACGATGGAAAGAAACTACCAAAGGCGAAGCGCACCGGGAAACAACTCCTCCCGTTCTTTCCGAGTTACTGGAGGAATTTGGCATTTCCTGGCGGGAAAAACCCTACAGAGACAGGCACCCAGGGGCAGGGAGTTCTGCGCTTGACTGTGAGGGAATGGAGAATCACAGTCTTCGACAGATGCCCCCGGTGGAGCCGGCAGTGGCAGCTCACCTGCACCCAAAGACCTCCATGGCCGCAGGAAGCCCCGCCCTTCCGTCCAGAGCAGACCGTTTCCAATCTGCCTTGACGGAAAAGTCCTACAAAGATGCCGCATTGTCAGTTCGGGCGTTGAACGCCTCATCCCTTCTGATGGTGTATCAGGCTGAACTTGAAGAGGAGATGACTGCATCACCAGAGGCCACGCTGTGGGAGGAGGTGTGCATCATTACCGACCACTGCCTTTACCTTCACAAAGTTGCGGTCCAAGCGCTGGGCAGAAAGATGGGTCTGGTGGTCCTGCAGGAGAGAGCTAGGTGGCTAAATCTCACCACCCTCTCTGCCAAAGAGAAGGAAGATCTTCTCGACAACCCCCTTGCCCCACAAGGGCTGTTTGGTGCTGCTGTTTCCATGATGTAAAAGAAATGTGAGGAAAAGAAACGGGATGATGAGGCTCTGAAATTATGCCTCCCCAGATGGGCACCGGTACACCCCCGTAGCCCCTCCTCCTCCTCAACGCCAAACTTTTGCCCAAGCTGCGGCCCGCCTGCCCCAACCTTCAAGGTTCCAAAGATGGCGAAACAGCAGTCGGCTCCTGCAGCATCTCAGAGACCCACCCCTGCTAAAGCTCCGTGGAAAAAGAGGCCTGATGCAGCTCGTCCAGATCAACCTCCGCCCGCCCCCACTCAGGTGGGGAGGAGAAGGAAGTGTCTAGCCTGACAGGCTACCAAGACACAGCGAGCAAACTGTTTCCAGTTCCGTGCTTGGATGTTCTGCGCATGAAAGAAGAGATGTTCCAATCTGCTCCATGCGCCCCAAAGAGACAGTGTGTAATTCCAGTAGGCAACCAAGAGGACCTGGTGACATGTCTCACAAGCACTGTTCTATGTTCTCAAACATGAAAAATGTCAACGCTGTCACATCCAGGCGGTTTACTGAGGGTGCAACTAAAAAAGTTGAAAAACAAAAGATCAATGAATCAAGGGGCGGAGACTACTCATTTCTTAAACAAAATGAGCCCCCCCACGACAGACACCTCTCTGTCAGGTTGGGGGGGGGGGGGGGGGGTCTTTGAAGGGAGACCGGTGAACGGGTCCTGACCCTCCCACATTCTCAGGTTCCACATAAATTATTTGGAACTGTCAGCAGTCGACATGACGTTGAGACATTTCCTCCCTCTCCTCGTAAACCATCATGTTCTGGTACGAACAGACAACACAACTGTTGTGGCATACATAAATCGGCAGGGGGGTCTGAGATCCCAAAGCCTGCACATGTTAGCTCACAAGCTTGTTCTGTGGAGCAGCCGACACTTCTGGTCTCTGAGAGCCACTCATGTACCGGGGATATGGAACCTGGGGGCAGATCTTCTCTCCAGAGGGAACCTCCTGTACGCAGAGTGGAGACTTCACCCAGAGGTGGTCAGAATGATCTGGGTGCGCTTTGGGCAGGCCTCGATAGACCTGTTTGCTTCTCGGGAGAACACTCAGTGCCCCATGTTTTTCTCCCTACACGATCAGGACACACCTCTGGGAGTGGATGCATTTGCCCACAGATGGCCACAGACCCTGCTCTATGAATTTCCCCCTGTGGCTCTCATCTCACCCATGCTTACCAGAGTGAGAACGGAGGACCTGGTAATGATTCTGATTGCAACCCATTGGCCATCGAAACACTGGCTGGCGGAGATCACACAACTCCTTTGTGGAGAACCGTGGCCCCTGCCCCTACGCAGAGATCTGCTATCTCAGGCACAAGGGGAGGTTTTCCACCCAAACCCAGAGAGATTGCCCCACTGGGCTTGGCCCGTGAGCGGTCCAACCTACAGGCTGTAGGACTCCCACAGAGGGTCATTGAGACCATTCAGTGTGCAAGGGCTCCCTCAACTAGGTCTCTGTATCACTGCAAGTGGTCTATTTTCAAAAAATGGTGTGGAGAGAAACAGGAAATCACTTTTCAGTGCTCCGTGGCAGTCATACTGACCTTCTTGCAGGACCTGATGGATAAAGGAAAAACTTTCTCCACCATCAAGGTGTAATTGGCTGCAATATCAGCCTGCCATAATGGTTTTGAAAGGAGGTCGGTTGGACAGAATCAGAATCCGAATCAGAAAAGGTTTATTGCCATTGACAGTGAACAAGCAGTTCACAAACTAGGAACTTGCTTCGGTACTAATGTGCTACATATAACATGAATAATAAATTTCAAAAATAGAATAAGTAGAATAAAATATAATAAAACTAGCATAAAACATTCAGCTATAAAAAATGGCAGGTAATGATAATATGGCCAATAACGTGACGTTATGTCAAGTACAGCTGACGAACATGGTTGTGTATTCATAAGCTGTTCACAAGTCTAACGGCTGATGGAAAGAAGCTGTTCTTATGGCGGGAGGTTCTGGTCTGGATGGACCGTAACCTCCTGCCTGAGGGAAGCGGCTCGAAAAGTCTGTGTCCCGGGTGAGAAGGGTCAGCTGCTATCCGGCCTGCACGCCCCCGAGTTCTGGAGACGTACAGGTCCTGGAGAGATGGAAGGCTGCAGCCAATCACCTTCTCAGCGGAGCGCACAATGCGCTGCAGTCTATTTTTGTCACTAACTGTGGCTCCAGTGTACCACACAGTGATGGAGGAGGTGAGGATGGACTCCATAAAGCACAAGACAGAAGAGGAAGAAAAGTCTCTGTTCCGTCTCATCGGTTGGACAGCATCCCCTTGTGAGTCGATTTATGAGAGGCGTGCGAAGGCAATTTCCCATCTCTAGGAATCTGGCTCCACCCTGGGACCTCCCGCTAGTTCTGGAGGCCTTAATGTCTTCTCTTATTGAACCACTGGAACAGGTGGACTTGAAGGTGGCTACATTAAAAACGGTGCTGTTGCTGGCACTTGCGTCGGCTAAAAGTGTAGGTGAAATACATGCTCTGTCTGTTCACCCATCATGTACCAAATTTTCCCAAGACGACTCGAAAGTGACCTTACTCCCTAACACCACCTTTATGCCAAAGGTGCTGGGGGCTTTCCCCCCCATTTCTTTGGTTTCCTTCTGCCCTCCTCCCTTTTCCTCAGTGGAGCTGCAGAATCTCCATGCACTTTGTCCGGAGCGTGCATTACCTATGTACATGGACAGGACAGAGACTATGCGAAAGAGCAACCAGCTTTTTGTGTCCTGGGCCAAAAATCAGTTGGGGAAGCCCATATCAAAGCAGGGACTTCTCACTGGATTGTAGGAGCCATTTCCTTAGCCTATAACTCCAAAGGGGCTCTACCTCCCGAGGGTCTTTGTGCCCATTCTACTAGAGGACTTTCTTCCTCATGGGCCCTATTTAAGGGAGTGTCCATTCAGGAAATATGTGCTGTGGTGAGTTGGACCTCCCCTCACACATTCACTCGGTTCTACAAGCTAGATGTCACAACACTGTCACTAGCTCACTTGGTGCTGGGTATGGCTCCCACTATCTGAGCTGTGCACACAATATGATATTTGGGAGTACAGTCTGTGGATCATGTTCTGCCTTGCCATCCGGGAGTCAGTATTTTCCCATAGTGAGACATGAAACTAATGCAATGAAAGAGAACTTTAGGTTACTGTCGTAACCCCAGTTCTCTGAGTGCATGAGTAAGTGTCTCACCATACCGTCCTCCTTGCTATTTCGAAGCTAGGAAGAGGTGGTCATTTATACTGTTAGTGAGGAGCCGGCCCAATATATAGGTGGGGTTCCCGCCTCTTATACACTGACAGATTTGTTCCAGCCAATCAGGACTGGCAGTGTGGAATAAGCTTCTGATGAGGTCTCGCCTAGGCGTTCTCATAGTGAGACACTCACTCATGCTACTCAGAGAACCGGGGTTACGACAGTAACCTAAAGTTCTTTAAGAGTTGATTAGGCTCATTGATCTAAACAGGATTTTTAAGGCTAAACTATGAATTACAGCATGATTAAGGAAATCAATAAAATGTGCATTATCATGGTTTGATTTGTTTAATGAAACAGCTGAAAAACATTGAAATGAGCTTGACCATATATTGTGTGTGTGTGTGTGTGTGTGTGTGTGTGTGTGTGTGTGTGTGTGTGTGTGTGTGTGTGTGTGTGTGTGTGTGTGTGTGTGTGTGTGTGTGTGTGTGTGTGTGTTTGTGTGCGTGTGTGTGCGTGTGCGTGTGTGTGTGTGTACATCAGTAGTTGAGTAGCAGTACCTGTATCCATGCTGTCCAGATCCATAGGAACATACGTTTGGTTCAGGTAAAGTACACACGATGAATCAGTCACAGGTGATGAATGACCCTGAAGTGGTGGCACATTGTATTTAGCCGTGTTTTGCAAAAAGCTGCAATAGAAGCAAAGCAGGAGAACTGATTAAGAATGCTGCTTCAGAATAACACATGTTCCAATAACAACCTGTGACTGGTCAGGACACCACTTCCCTTAAATTAGTCAAGAACACAGTCATTACCCCCCTTAAAATAATAAAGGAGTGCCAAAGACATCTGGCAGTAGACAAGGAGCAGATGGAAAAATGTCTCGCAGAAATCTGATTATAAGAATTTTTATACACCTGTGATGGAAGTAGAAAGGTACGCAGGAAAGGTTTGGGGGTGGTGACTGCATAAAGAGGCGGAGGAGAATGAGGGACTAATTTAACCGTTGTTAAAAGGTCTCTGAAACACAAACATAGTTAGTTTTTTTTCCCCAGTCTGGCTGTGAAGAAAACAGAATAGATGTCTAAATTAGGGCTGTCGCGATTGAGGAATTCCCCCTGCGGTGAGTCAGGGCAGCTCAATATTGCGATATGCGATATTATTGGACCTCGTTTTTATTTATGTACTTAGCAAATTTGTTTGTTAATTACTAAACTCATGGCAATATTTCCTTTGAAACATTGTGCTTACACATTTAAAAAATGTTAGAAAAAAATACATGGCCATTTTTAACACTTTATTGAATGCAGATCAAAGGGCAGTAACGGCATTCTCTGACTGAACTTTAAAACAACATTCAGGAGGTTTCACTTTGAAATGCAAATTTGGCTGCAACATCTAACAGAAATGAAAAAAAGTGCCTTACTATCTCCTCGATCAACACGGACTTTACCTCTCAGCATGTGCTGTCGCGAGATTTAATCAAGTGCGGTAATTGCGGTGGCACGTCATGCAGCGCGGTGGGTTTCTTAATATCGCGATATATTGTTCTTGCAATTATTGTGACAGCCCTAGTCTGAATGCTGGTGACAAGCCTTACAGGTTGACACAAAAATTTCGGAGCATCAAAGCTTCTGCTTTAATGTCACGCCTGATACTTAAAACTTTATTCTTATTGTTGCTTTATATTTCCAACCAGACACAGAGACAGAGGTGAAAGAGAAAGGAAGAGACAAAAGACGGGAAGGGGGCTCCAGAAAAATAAACAATCAATAAACAATGCGTCTAGACCTGCAGAAAGAGAAAAACAACATTCAACAATACAGTAAGATGAAGCTATCACTGCATCAACTTGATGAGGAAATATAAAATTAACATTGTTTTACTGAACAATCACACGATAGTAAATCACAGTGCAGTACAGGGTTTTATTTTTATTTTTTTCCAAGATCGATGATCGGCCAAAAACTGCAATCGGTGCACCCCTAGTTAATGTTAAAGCAAATCATTGCTATAGAATAACTTCTTGTCAAAACAGGCACAAGTTCTGTTTCCAAAATTAGAAAAATTAAAGTCTGAAAGGAACAAAAATGATTTTGTAGTTCAAACAGCGATGCTAAATACAGTGGGGCAAAAAAGTATTTAATCAGCCACCGATTGTGACAGTTCTCCCACTTAAAATGATGACAGAGGTCAGTAATTTACATCATAGGTACACTTCAACTGTGAGAGACAGAATGTGAAAAAAAATCCATGAATTCACATGGCAGGATTTTTAAAGAATTTATTTGTAAATCAGGGTGGAAAATAAGTATTTGGCCAATAACAAAAATTCAACTCAATACTTTGTAACATAACCTTTGTTGGCAATAACAGAGGTCAAACGATTACTATAGGTCTTTACCAGGTTTGCACACACAGTAGCTGGTATTTTGGCCCATTCCTCCATGCAGATCTTCTCGAGAGCAGTGATGTTTTGGGGCTGTCGCCGAGCAACACAGACTTTCAACTCCCTCCACGGATTTTCTATGGGGTTGAGGTCTGGAGACTGGCTAGGCCACTCCAGGACTTTCAAATGCTTCTTACGGAGCCACTCCTTTGTTGCCCGGGCGCTGTGTTTGGGATCATTGTCGTGTTGGAAGACCCAGCCACGTTTCACCTTCAAAGCTCTCACTGATGGAAGGAGGTTTTGGCTCAGAATCTCACGATACATGGCCCCATTCATTCTGTCCTTAACACGGATCAGTCGTCCTGTCCCCTTAGCAGAAAAACAGCCCCAAAGCATGATGTTCCCACCCCCATGCTTCACAGTAGGTATGGGGTTCTTGGGATGCAACTCAGTATTCTTCTTCCTCCAAACACGACGAGTTGAGTTTATACCAAAAAGTTCTACTTTGGTTTCATCTGACCACATGACATTCTCCTAATCATCTGCTGTATCATCCATGTGCTCTCTGGCAAACTTCAGACGGGCCTGGACATGCACTGGCTTCAGCAGCGGAACACGTCTGGCACTGCAGGATTTGATTCCCTGCCGTTGTAGTGTGTTACTGATGGTGACCTTTGTTACTGTGGTCCCAGCTCTCTGCAGGTCATTCACAAGGTCCCCCCATGTGGTTCTGGGATTCTTGCTCACCGTTCTCATGATCATTTTGACCCCACGGGATGAGATCTTGCGTGGAGCCCCAGATCGAGGGAGATTATCAGTGGTCTTGTATGTCTTCCATTTTCTGATAATTGCTCCCACAGTTGATTTTTTCACACCAAGCTGCTTGCCTATTGTAGATTCACTCTTCCCATTCTGGTGCAGGTCTACAATTCTTTTTTTTTTTTTTTTTTTTTTTTAAATGTGTCCTGTCTGGCTGTGAAGCAAGCAGAATTGATGTCTGAATGCTGGTGACAAGCCTTACAGATTTACTCTCAGGTGGAGCATCAAAGCGTTTGCTTTTAATGTCACGCCTGATACTTAAAACTTTATTGTTATTGTTGTTGAATGCTTGGTAATTCCGACCAGACACGGAGACAGAGGTGCAAGAGAAAGGAAAAGAAAAGGTGGGGAGAGGGGGGTTCCACAAAAATAAACAATGAACAAGAGTCTGCTTCTAGACCTGCAGAAAAAGACAAAAAAAAGCAAAAGGACAAAAAAAAAGGGACACAACAACAATACAACAAGATCTAGCTATCACTGCGTCAACTTGATGAAAAAATATATAATCAACATTGCTTAACTGAAGAATCACGATAATAAATCACAGTGCATTAAGTGCCCACCATAGTCTTAAGACCTGTGTTTAAAGTGCCCAAGCCCATACTTTTGAGAGCACCATGTGAGCACCTGTGTGTGTACACGCACTTGTTTATGTAAGGTTTCTCTACAACAGAGAGTGTGAGGGACCACAGAACCGCCCCCCAAAGATGCGCAGGAGACAGGGGGAGCTCCAAGTCCCAGAGATCCAGGCGCTGCCCCAGAACACAGGAACCCCAAGGAGACTGCAACCAGAAAGGCCCCCGCCCCCCTCGAAAGGCACAGAGGATCGCCCCGGGGGGCCACAACCAGCAGCCGGCAGAGTCCCAGGAGATATCAGCGGCAAGCCCACAGGCCCGCCCGCAGCCTCCCACCCCCTAGCCGGCTGAGCCCGGGACCCAGCAACCCGGGACCCAGGGGCGACCACCCCCGCCGGGGACCCAGCAGAGCCCAGGGACCCAGACCCCACCAGGCAGCCACCGGGATCTATCAGGCAGATGCCAAAATCTTAAACCCCCTGACCCGGTTGCCACGAACACTCAGGCAGACCACGGCACAACCCCTCACACCAGGTGTGGCAGGGGGAGGGGGGACAAAGATCTATATCATCAAGAGAAGTTCCAGGAGAGGGGAGGAGTCAAAGGCCCCACCTGACATATACAGTCATACACAAACACAGTCACACACTGCCTCCCTCATGCTCACACATGCACATACAACCCAAGACTTACAAAAATGCACGCCGGACACCCACTCATGCTCCCCATACACACCCTATTCACTCTGGTCCCGGTACTGCTGCACATTGGGTACAACCATCACCGGTAACCAGAGTTTGACCCTTTCTGCTGGGGTGCTGATGAGCAGGCTCCCCCGCCCAACGCTGAGCACAGCAACCCACCACCCCAGACCCCAACCAGACGGCCAGATCCCCCTCCTAGCCTCCAGCCCCAGGAAGCCTAGCAACAACAGAGGTGGCAAAGACCACTAGTCTCCCTCCGCCTGCTCCAATATAGTGTTGTGTAATCATGAGGTGTATTCCATGGCTGTGGTGAGTGGGCAGTGCGGGCAACATCCGGCCTTTGCCCGCTGATGCCACCGCACCACCCCACTCACATCTTCAGCCATCAGTGTCTAAGTGCGGTTTAAAATTTGAAGTGGGCACTGGCACCCGAGAGGAGGCTGAAATATCCCCCTGCCAAATGCTGTTGAATGTGCTCACTCCCAAGGCCCTAAGTGTGTGTTTGTGTGGAATGTCGTCAGTGGAAGCGTATAAGGTGCAAATAAAATTGGGGGGCAGGTTGCCACAGGAATGCGGAAATGGGGTCCATACCCGCACTCCCTGACGTGCCCACGCCCCAAGGTCCTATGTGTATGTTTGTGTGATGATGTGAGGGAGCAGGAGGAGAGAAATATGCGGGGATGGGGAGGAATGGCTGGTTGGGCTTAGCCCTCCAGGGAGCCAGCTCTCCTACTGGCCCCAATAGGCACCTCTGTTGTCAAACTGCCACCCAGGGCATGGAGACCCCAGCCCATCCTGCCAGGGCCCAAAGCAGCAGCATTACAGAGCCTCACGGAGTCCGAGGGCACCAACCCAGCCCCACCCCAGCTGAATATCTATGCCCATCCCTGCATTTGCACAACTTCCAGAATATATAAGACAGGCAGGTCTACAATTCTTTTCCTGGTGTCCTTCGAAAGCTCTTTGGTCTTGGCCATAGTGGAGTTTGGAGTCTGACTGTTTGAGGCTGTGGACAGGTGTCTTTTATACCGATGAGTTCAAACAAGTGCCTTTAAAACAGGTAACGAGTGGAGGACAGAAAAGCTTCTTAAAGAAGACGTTACAGGTCTGTGAGAGACAGAGATTTTCCTTCTTTGAAGTGACCAAATACTTATTTTCCACCCTGATTTACAAATAAATTCTATAAAAATGCTGCCATGTGAATTCATGGATTTTTTTTCAAATTCTGTCTCTCACAGTTAAAGTGTACCTATGATGTAAATTACTGACCTCTGTCATCATTTTAAGTGGGAGAACTTGCACAATCGGTGGCTGACTAAATACTTTTTTGCCCCACTGTATGTTCATTTATATTTGAGAACATTACCTCATGTCCAGTTGAAACTGGTATTGTTTCATGAGTACTCATATTGGTTTTGTCAATAACAGGAATTGAAACATTGACGTAATCTGCTAGTTAAGACAAAATCTGCAAGTTCGGTTTTTCTCAAGATCAGTAATCGGCCCAAAACTGCTTTCGGTGCATCCCTTAACATAGTATACTGTGATCTGTCTGTCGCAAACAAAGTGGCTCTTTCATTTAATTCTTTTACTTATTTATTTATAAAGCACCTTACTGCCATCAGCCAAGGCTGCCCAAAGTGATGTGCATGATAAAATGATAGATTATACACAGTAAAACATCAATAAGACCATACTGGACTCCATACAACTTCAAAAAAACAATAAAATATTACAACATATAACCTAAAAAATGTCAATTAAACTAAATAAGACGAGTAAAGCAACTAAGAAGGTAAGTAGATCTAAAATGCTGCTTCAGTTCAGCTTTAAAACTCCAGACAGTAGATGCCTACCTAGTGGGAGTCAGTTCCACACTCCTGGGGCCAGTAAGGCTCACTCCCCTCGATACCTCATTACCCCAATACCTGTGGTACCAGGTGTACATTCGTATGTGTCCGTTACAGAATGTTGCATAGTTCTTGAACTCAAGTGTTTCATGTTTTATTCATGGTTTTTAGTGGTTGAAGGTTATAATACTAGCTTACTGCTTGTGTGTGTGTACATAAAAACAGTCTCATGGAAATGACTCCATCACACCTGCTGTCAGCATCATTGGGTGGGTAGCCCAGCAAGGTATGAGGCCCACCAGGACGATACCAGACATCCTAGATGGCCAGTCCACCCCTGTTAATATCCTACTTCTGGGGAAGGCGGGTTCCAGACTAGCATCAAGGGGAGGCGCATGTCTGATGATGCACATGGGCTACTTTGTCCAGTCAGCAGACTTTAAAGCCACTTTTACACCTGGCCCGGTCCGGGATGGGTGGCATCACCAGAAATGTTCAGGCATGTGGGCGGAGCTTAAGACACAAAGATATCTGTGGTGTCTCGGTAAACAAAAGGCGGAGGTGAGCAGTGTTGCTTTTGGAGACTAAGGTATTGCATCCAGACAGCTGTCTGTCCTCGCGTGGTGCAGCTCGAGTCCCAGCAGTGCTGTGTGTGTGTGTGTGTGTGTGTGTGTGTGTGTGTGTGTGTGTGTGTGTGTGTGTGTGTGTGTGTGTGTGTGCGTGCGTGCGTGCGTGCGTGCGTGTGGTCCTCACGGCATGCCTCAGTTAGAAAGAAGGACAGCTTCAGTCAGAAGAGATGTTTACTCTACAGTATCCAGAATGATAATGAATCTTGCATGTGGCAAGCCCCTGCTGGATAACTTGACCCGCTATTCGAAGGCTGCCCCTAATGGTAGGCGTGAATTTGAGCCAGAAAATAAGTCTGCAGTAGGTGTGTTGGACCAGTTCAGCCCAATGCAGACCGCCTTGGGAAGAGGGCTGAAAAATCGACCGGTTGAGCATGAAAAAGAACAGGTTACCATGATGTGAAAACAATATACCAGTGGTCCTCAATAGGTAGCCCACGGACCCCCTCTTTATGCCCCCACCATCAGACAGATGAGCTGGAGGGGAAGGGACAGGTGTTGTGCTTGTGTGTTGTGTATAACAGCCAGCGCTGTGCATTCACTTGAAATATTTTTGGTGGAAGTGTTGGCAAGAGCAAATGTTTTTCTGCTGTAACGTGAGGAAATATGGGTTTTCTGTCACAAATTTAGTGTTGGACTCAGCTGGGTCAAAGCTGGGTCATTGAGAACTTTCACCCACAGATTAAGACCTGAACGCCAGCGAGTCTGGGAGGAAACCATAACATCTGCCACCTGCGGTACCAGAAGAAGGAGTTCTCATGGACAAGTAGTCATAACAAGTCAAAACATAAAGTTTAAACTTCCTTTTCTTGTTTTGAATGTTAAAAGTTTAATCATCAATTTGCTCATTATAAATGTGTTTTAATCAAATGAATGACTATTATGCTTTGGGGTAATTATAAGAGATTTAATGAATCCATAATTAGATAATGTTGAGAGTGTTTGTTACTGACCTTCACACACACTCAAGCACACAAACATTCACACACACCCACACACATCTGCTCACAGTAAACTCCAAAACACATTTGCTGACGCACACGTTTGCTTTGAGAAGAGAAAGGTTTTTGGTAAGTTTCAGTCTTATGATTTCAGTTCGTGCTTGACAACGAAAGAGAGAGGACCTAAAGGGGGGACAGAGCCGGTTGGCTCGTTTCTCCTTCCCCCCCCCCCCCCCCCCCCCCCCCCCCCACCCCTTTTCCGCTGTTCCTGTCAGCCAGACAGAATAGCTGAATCGCGACTTCTAACGCAGACTCATTACCGAGTCTTTTGATTTCTGAGTGAATTAACTTAAGAAAGCGCATCGACAAAACGCTTTACCATCAACGTGTACCGAGGGCAACTCTGGACCCGTTCCGTTCGACACCTACGTCTCCCCTGTCAGCCGTTGAGTGTCATCTGGATGAACCACCACCATCCTCCACGGCCCGGATCCGAAAGAGGGTCCACAAGAGTTCGGTGAGACAGAACACGGTGTTTAGCGTTTGATGCAGTTCTCTGATAAGACCTAAGTTTATCCAAACCATCACTTCACTCAGACCCCTGTTTCTTCCTGAAGCAAAATCAGATACACACACGCATCCATCTCACCTCATGTTCATTTCTCACTACACTTTGCACACACACACATCCATAATCACATCATATCACTCTCAATCTTCATTCACCGACAGAAGGTCTATTTGAGCAAGAACAGCAAATCAACTGTTAAAGATTGTCCCACAAGTTGCCAATGTTGATTGTTATTTCCTGTTTGTCAATTTCAAAATCATTAGTTTAATTTGAAGAATTAAAACTTTCAATTGTCAAACTGGTTTCCTCATTGAACTGAAACACAGACACACAGATATTATCGTCAGTTTATCGATGAAAACAACCTTTGAGTCTTCTTAACAATATAACTGAGTAAAGACAGTTTCTCCTTACAATATAACTGAGCCAGTCAATTTTCTTTACAAATATGGCGAGCGTATCCAGACTTCTATATCTGCGATATATCTGATTTCAAACATCTACAAGCTGATTTTTCGCAATTTTAGCCTTTTCTCTGTGTTTCACTTTGATGTCTTATTTTGAAAAAAAACGGAATTTATTCCTCTGAAGTCACTCTTCCGGGAGACGTCCTGGTGGAAACTTGACGGTGGAAGATCTCCGATCTCAAATTGTCCGCAAATTACAGACATTACTTTGATTTATCCCATCTTCGCTTCGGAGCGAACGTGTGAGTTGTGCTTTTGACTAAATTCTGCCCATTTTGGCGCGACGCCGCGCCTCTAATCTCTTCATGTCGGAAAGCTACATTTCCGCTCTGAAACTTGCTGGGTGAGCTACCGTGAGCAGCTTATCCTCAAATCCTAAAATTAAGACTAAATTCTCCGATTCTCTGACATCCTTTCGTCTCAGTGTGTTGACACTGTGGGCGAGCTATTGTGGAAGATATTTCCATTACATAGGCGAAGCCGAATCTTACCGGAATGCTCGTAGGCACCTACCATAGCTTAATTTGCTAAATAAACGCTGTAAGTCGGGTTATTGCCGTCGCGCGTTACTGCATCCAGATTGCGTACGCTTTAAAGTCCGTTTTAACAGCGGAGCGAGATGCCTGCTTGTTAATCGGGAAAATTTAAGTTTGGTCGCTACAGACGAAAAGCTAGACCTAGCCGGAGAGCTAAGCTAGCGAGCCACAGTTGGACAAAAAGGGAACACGTCCCATTAAATTGTCAAACCATTTCTGACACAGTAAGTCTGTGTCCTCACAAAACCCGCATTGGCGGTGATTCTTGTAAATCACTACGGTGTGTAGAATCTACATTTTGCTACGTTTGTCCGTCTGATACCAACACGGCAGCGTAGGGTTTATTATTTTTTTATTTTTGTTTTAGACCGCTGTACGGGTCGGCTTTCACAGCCTCCATCGCTCGGATCCATGACTTTTTCTTCCATCTTGTGAAGTTGTGTGCATTCATTTCTCTATCAACAGCTCCTTGTTTTACCCTGTGTCATAAAGTTAAGTTACGCTACGGACAGTCCTTGTTTGTGAGATGAATTAAGGAATTTGCCCAGTTTTACGTCGACTCAGAAGGTAAAAACGCGAGTTGCTCTGAACTTAATGAGGGATGGACGAGACACCACAAAATCTTTCTTGTACTGTTACACCTGATGTAAGGTTCTCTGACGTTCTGCTTCCAGAACATGCCAAGACGCAGGAGACTGTTTACCGGCCGAGCCACGCTGGTCCCTCCGCCCGCCCGAACGGGCCCGCATTAGTCGGGTGCCGCCGGTCGGGCACGGTGGGGACTAGTGGCAGCGGTTCGGTGCCAGCTGCTCGGGGTCGGAGGTGGTTCTGGTCTGCCATTCATGACGTGAATTCATGCAACATGCTGTTTACAGTCATAGCGCTTTTTCTTTGCCTTTATTTCTTCCAGGGGGTCAAAAACCCACCATCAATATCAAGGTTTGAAATAAACAACACTTTCTCTGCTACTTTTAAGCTGAATAAATCTCTTGAGCCTATGGTTAACCTCTCTGACAAACAGGTTGTGCTTAACCCTTTGGTTCCTGATGCTTCTTCTCTGTCATCCATGTTAGAGGCTGACCATCTCTCCAGCATGGGTGTGAAATCTTCAGGCTGTGATCCACCGCTTCAGTCAGGGGTCTGCTTTACTCATCAGTCCGCCTCATGCACAAACCGGCTTGTTTATCGGGGCGTGATGGAAACGTCAGCCGCCGTGAAACACTTGTGGTCTCCGGACGGAGCAACCTTACCATTTGCAGGGTTTGTGCCCGGACATCTTGACCTTTCTATGAATGACCTTGTCACTTTTCAGTTTGTGACCTCTGCTAATACGGTGGCCAATTCTTTTCTCCTTTCACAGGGGTGTGACTTTGTCTCTGGCCTCTGTGCTCTATTTCCTGTGATTTCTCTTTCAGGTGACCATGATGGCGCAGGAAAACCTGCGGTTTCCAGCAGTCCAGTGGTCAGTGCCGATGTTGAGGAAGCCTCAGTGGTTGCTGTGCACACCTCTCTCACGGGCTCGGGAAGGCCACCCGGCCCGGGAGGTGTAGGTGGGTGCAGTGATGCACTGCTCGGGGCCCCGCCTGACAAAGGGGGGGGTGCTGAGTGGCACTGAGTTTACCGTTGCGGACTTCAACCTGTTCGGGGGCAGGCCTCCTCCGAGCGGGCGGGTCATTGCAGGAATCGACACTGACCTTCCACCAATTCAGCTGACAACTTTGACCTCCGACCCGGAGATAGGTGGTGCACCTTCTACGGGGCGGAGTTCTAGTCAGTCTGTAACTACTCTGGTTAAACCGGGTTTTTCTGATTCTGTGTGGGAACCTCCATCATTCTTGGGAATAAAGTATTCTTGGCTTCAGTTTTCAGGACAGAACATGTTCCTTTCGATAGTGTCATGTCTGTATCTGATTCTAAACATGGCTAGGTTTGCTTTGACACCCGTGACACAACCATCCTTGGATCACTCCTTTTCAGAACCTCAAAGTCCAACGCCTCCAGGTCTTTGGACATCTGAACACCTACTCTTTCAGCACAATTCAGGTCACGATAGGGCTTTTAAGAGCTTAAGAACTGTGGTTATGCTTCTCCTGTCTCACAGACACGGCATAAGTTTGAGCAACAAAAGGGGGGTGGGGAGCCTCCTCCTGCTTTGCGAGCATCATTTTCGCATTTCCAGTTCACTACTATTTCTGATCACAACAAAGTCGCCTCCGTAAAGCTGCAACCCAACTTTGAGCAGGTAAAATCAGGTTCTGATCTAACAATTATACCATCAGCTTCACTCGAGTTCCGGACGGAACCCTCAGGTAAATTCAAACAAGTTTCCCTGTGGGTTCGTAACACAAGATACAAACAGTTTGATAACCAAATCGCTTATGAGCCTGCTCCCACAGATACGTCCAAACTCATGTCTCTGTGGGTCCGCAATACCAGATTCAAAACGCTTACTGAACAACTCTATTCTGACCAACTCTATTCTGACCGGATTCTTTTCCACTAACTGGTGGACCGTTACAAATTCTCTCGTTTGTGGGATGAATTTTTAACAAATGTGATATCCTTTGAATTTTTTGTTTTAGGTTACCTGCCTCCAGCCAGGGTCCTGCTACTAACTCACATTTTTAGGGATTACTAACCTACTGATTTACATTTTTAGAATTGATTTACATCTCTATCTTTTTATTAGTGCTTTGTGTAGCATGATTATATTTGATTACACATTTAATTTTGTTTTGTTACTATTTCCCTTAAAGGGCCACAAGCCAATTTGCCCTTCATTTTCATGATTATTTCTTTTATATATATATGCCTTTACTTAGTGCAGCCTGCTGAGTTTCACATATCAGTTAGGATTTACTTTCTTTTATTTGTGTTTTCTCTGCATCACGTTTTTTACATGACATGTAGAACAGGGTGCAGTACATTTCTTCTTTAGATAATTCACAAAAGGCATTAACATTTTCCCAGAGGCACCCATAGATAGGTTTTGATTGATTTCTTTGATTTGCATCAAATGCTATCTATCGTGTGGGCTGTCTCACTTTGTCTCCTTCTCCGAGCTCGTATGGACTACATCCCATCAGAGGGGTCGTCTTCACCATCCTTCAGCTGGTTTCCTGTCGCATGGGGCTTCGGTCGTGGTTCGAGAGGTGTCGAGGTCGTCACTGGACTTCGCCTGGACTACGCCTGAGGAATACATCACCTGCCCAGCTCCGTGTGACACACGAGCTGCTTATCCTTTGAATACCTTTGCATTATTGCTGATGAAATTAACTGCTATTGGCATAGCTCTGCTTTCAAGATTTCCTAAGGGGATTGCTTTACAATGGTTGCAACAGTTTTGGCCTTAATCATCTGATCAGGATATACTCCCTTCTACACGAGACCTGTGGAGACGCTTCATCGTTCCTGCCTTCATCTGGGATGTCTACCTTCACGAGTACATCACGTTATTGAGGTTGTGACGTCAGGTGGCCTCTGCTTGACCACCATGTCGTCACAAAAGGGGGGATCTGTAACGTGAGGAAATATGGGTTTTCTGTCACAAAGGTGGTGTTGGACTCAGCTGGGTCAAAGCTGGGTCATTGAGAACTTTCACCCACAGATTAAGACCTGAACGCCAGCGAGTCTGGGAGGAAACCATAACATCTGCCACCTGCGGTACCAGAAGAAGGAGTTCTCATGGACAAGTAGTCATAACAAGTCAAAACATAAAGTTTAAACTTCCTTTTCTTGTTTTGAATGTTAAAAGTTTAATCATCAATTTGCTCATTATAAATGTGTTTTAATCAAATGAATGACTATTATGCTTTGGGGTAATTATAAGAGATTTAATGAATCCATAATTAGATAATGTTGAGAGTGTTTGTTACTGACCTTCACACACACTCAAGCACACAAACATTCACACACACCCACACACATCTGCTCACAGTAAACTCCAAAACACATTTGCTGACGCACACGTTTGCTTTGAGAAGAGAAAGGTTTTTGGTAAGTTTCAGTCTTATGATTTCAGTTCGTGCTTGACAACGAAAGAGAGAGGACCTAAAGGGGGGACAGAGCCGGTTGGCTCGTTTCTTCCCCCCCTCCCCCCCCCTTTTTCCGCTGTTCCTGTCAGCCAGACAGAATAGCTGAATCGCGACTTCTAACGCAGACTCATTACCGAGTCTTTTGATTTCTGAGTGAATTAACTTAAGAAAGCGCATCGACAAAACGCTTTACCATCAACGTGTACCGAGGGCAACTCTGGACCCGTTCCGTTCGACACCTACGTCTCCCCTGTCAGCCGTTGAGTGTCATCTGGATGAACCACCACCATCCTCCACGGCCCGGATCCGAAAGAGGGTCCACAAGAGTTCGGTGAGACAGAACACGGTGTTTAGCGTTTGATGCAGTTCTCTGATAAGACCTAAGTTTATCCAAACCATCACTTCACTCAGACCCCTGTTTCTTCCTGAAGCAAAATCAGATACACACACGCATCCATCTCACCTCATGTTCATTTCTCACTACACTTTGCACACACACACATCCATAATCACATCATATCACTCTCAATCTTCATTCACCGACAGAAGGTCTATTTGAGCAAGAACAGCATATCAACTGTTAAAGATTGTCCCACAAGTTGCCAATGTTGATTGTTATTTCCTGTTTGTCAATTTCAAAATCATTAGTTTAATTTGAAGAATTAAAACTTTCAATTGTCAAACTGGTTTCCTCATTGAACTGAAACACAGACACACAGATATTATCGTCAGTTTATCGATGAAAACAACCTTTGAGTCTTCTTAACAATATAACTGAGTAAAGACCGTTTCTCCTTACAATATAACTGAGCCAGTCAATTTTCTTTACAAATATGGCTGAGCCAGCCCAATTTCTTTACACTGCTTTATATGGTGCAGAGATAGCTCTGATCCGTTGTATTATTGAGTGTCCCCTTTTTTCCCCTCTCTCTCTTTCTGCAGGTCTAGATGTGGATTTGTATTCATCCTTTATGTTTTTTTAATGTCCTGCCTGGCTGTGAAGCAAACAGAATTAATGTCTGAATGCTGGTGACAAGCCTTACAGATTTACTCTTAGGTGGAGCATGAAAGTGTCTGCTTTTAATGTCACGCCTGATACTTAAAACTTTATTGTTATTGTTTATGAAATGCTACATATAAGTCTGACCACACACGGAGACAGAGGTGAAAGAGAAAGAAAAGACAAGGTGGGTGGGGGGGGTTCCACAAAATTACACAATCAATGATAAAGAGTCTGCTTCTGGGCCTGCAGAAAAATAAACAAAAACAAAAAAAGGGACACACAACAAAACAACAGGAGCAACCTATCACTGTGTCAACCTGATGAGGAAATATAAAATCAACATTGTTTTACTGAACGATCACTCGATAATAAATCACAGTGCATTTAGTGCCCACCACAGCCTTAAGACGTGTTGAAAATGCCCAAGCCCATACTTTTGAGAGCACCATGTGAGCACCTGTGTGTGTACACGCGCTTGTTTATGTAAAGTTTCTCTATAGGAGCGTCCAATAGAGAGTGTGAGGGACCACAGATCTGTCCCCCAAAGATGTGTAGGAGATGGAGGGAGCTCCAAGTCCCAGAGATCCAGGAGCTGCCCGAGAGCGCAGGGACCCCAGGGAGACTGTGACTAGAAAAGCCCCCGCCCCCGTCGAGAGGCGCAGAGGATTGCCCTGGGGGGCCACAACCAGCAGCCAGCAGAGTCCCGGGAGATAACAAGGCCCACAGGCCCGCCCGCAGCCTCCCACCCCGAAGCCGGCTGGGCCCGGGACCCATCGCCCTGGGACCCAGGGACGATCAGCCCCGCCGGGGACCCAACAGAGCCCAGTGACGCAGATCCCACCAGGCAGCCACTGGGAGCAACCAGGCAGATGTCAAAAATCTTAAACCCCCTGAACCGGGGAGCCGTGAACACGTAGGCAGACGAAGGCACCACACTCTGGAGAAAATATGGCAGGGGGAGGGCAGGCGAAGATGTGTAGCAGCATAGGAAGACCCAAGAGAGGGGAGGAGTCCGAGACCCCACCTGACACACACAGTCATACACAAACACAGTCACACACTCCCTCCGTCATGCTCACACACACATACAACCGAAGACTTACAAAAGTGAACGCTAGACACCCACTCACTCTCCCCATACACACCCTATTCACCCTGGTCCTGACACTGCTGCACAACCATCCCAGGACCAGATTTAGTCCCGTTGTGCTGGAGTGATGATGAGCAGGCACCCCCATCCAATGCTGAGCAAAGCAACCCATCCCATCCCATCCCTCATCCTTTGTTTATTTTTGCTTGTTCGATTGGATTTTTTATCAATGTTACTATTTTCATGAAGTTTTCACTCGTTACTTTGGTCAGTTTCTTTCTTTCAAAGACAGCTGAGGGTCATGAGGATGACTCGAATTACTAAATTAGTCTTTAGTATTAGTATGTGTGAGTGAGTAAATGGGAATTTGTCTGTTTTTGATAAAACGACTTCTAGAGTACTATAACCCCCCCAAGGTCCTGTACAACACAATCATTCTGCACACACATTCACTATGGAACTAGGATTGGGACCACATTCAGCGTAACTTGTACAATATTCAGCGTAACTTGTGCCAAGTTTTGTAACTTCGAACATGTTTCATCACATGTAACTTTGGATTCGTAACTTGTAACTTTAGTTTTCTAACTTGTAATTCTCAATTTGTACTTGTATTTCTTGTTTTGTAACAGGAACGTTGTATTTTGTACATATATTTTTATTTTGTAAAATCAAACTTTTATTTTGTACATTTACTACTCATTTTATAAAATCAAACATTCATTCAGAAACATGAAACTTTTGTTTTGTAACTAGAAGACTTCCAAATTGAAAAAAATCAAGGTACAAGTTTGAAATCAAAACTCTCAAAATACACATTTCATTCTACAGGTACAAACCAAAATCCTACAGTGTTACAGATCTTTTTGTCTTGATTCTAGCGTCAGTGGGAGGAACTTGGGTGGAACCAATGAGAGCACGAGTCTTGGCTACCAATCACGTTTCTCGAATTCCTGTCCAATCATTGGGAGAGGAGGGCAGAGCTGTAGAGACGACACTCCGAATGTCCGAATCCACAGGAAGGATGCTTATGAGTACGGATTCTCGCCGGTCTAGCAAGGCCGGGTCCTTGAAGACCGCTAAAACCGGAAGTCAGCGGCTCTGAATTCGGACCTTCACCTCTACGGTGACCCGTAGGTCCCGTCACAGCCGTGGCGGCAGCTACACGCAAAGGAAAAATGCTAAAGCTAGCGAAAATGGAGCAGGAATATTAAGGAGCTACAGCAGCTTCACGTCCATCAGCAGCGTTTGTTCACAACCGTTTTCAGGTAAAGTAACTTTGTTTATTCTAGAAGCTTTCAGGACTTGCATGTTAACTTTAGATGGCTTCATGTATGTTTTAAGCTACAGAATGAACTTGTTAAACGTACACAACACATTACTACAGAGTATTAACATGTAGGTAATTAACATAAACCAAATGCATTATAAATGTTGAATGCAGCAGGATGTTTTCTAATGTAAATTGGACATTAGAACTTATTTTGCATCAAATGAGGGTAAAACGTTTTAAAACAGGTTTTTTAATAAAATAGCATTGAACTGTTTTCAATGTGCATTTGTTTATTCAACTTAAGCCTAATAATGATTAGATCTGTCTTAAAAATGTAAATTCTCTGTAGTTTTCCCTGCTGCTTTTCTTTAAACTGAACAGAACCAGTGTACTGCAGGTTATATGTTTGTTTTAAATTTTTCTATAAAAAAACAAACTAACTCTTATTTAATCTATTACAGGTCAGCATGCACTGTGCTGCACATCTGCATTGGTGCTGGTGAAGTTGTGGGTCTGGAGGATGAGCCTGAGGAAGATGTGTGAGGAGGAGGTCAGTGGTGCTCTGTCCTGGAGGAGGTCCCAGCAGACCACCACTACTGTTAACAGGCAAGTCATCCACAGAGATGTAACAGCCGTCGTCTGAGCCAGCCCAGCGGTCCCTGTAGATGGACGATGGAGTGGACAGTGAGAGGAAGCGTCCCAAAGCTCTCTCTGCAGACCGTCCTGTATGATGTTCCTCTGGCCAGAAACGTCCAGCCACGGGTCTGCTCCAGCCCTCCATCCACGTCTGGATCCTCCTGCAGCAGATCCAGCTGCACTGTTAAAGACTTCCTGCTCACTCAGTTTAAATAAATGATCCAGGAAGAGTCACTCAGGTTAATCCTGCTTTAACCGTACATAACTGGTCCATACTGGTTTTGATCTGTAAATAAGTGTAACCTATTATAAATAATCTTGTCTCCTTACCATCTTTTCATTTTCTGTTCATGTAACATGTTCAAAAGCATCTGTAATTAATAAAATTGGTGATAAAATCAATGACCAGAAAGAGTTATCAGTTAGTATTTGTTTTAATAAATGTGTTCAAATATCAAACAGCTAAATAACATTAACATGATGACAGTAGAAGGCCTCTCTCCCAGGAGGACCACCAGGTAAAGCCTCTCCTGACCCTGGACACCTGCAGTCCTACAGAGAAAATCAGACCACAGGTGACAAAAAGGCAAAAAATACATTTTTTATAATAGTTACTCATATATTGTACAACCAAAGTCATAAAGTTTTCAATCAGTAGTTTTATTTCAGTATGTATTTTTCCAGTATCACAAAAAATGTAATTTTATATGGTTAAAACCATCTAGCTTATGTGCACGTTTTAAAACACTGCCCAGCAAACATTCGGACGTTTAATGACAGTTGAACGGTCACAACTGTAAAATAATATCACAGGAATTAGGAAAAATTAATATGACATCTACTCTATGTTCCTTGCCCAGACTCGAACCTGGATCCTCCGGGGGGAGAGTCACCCGCTCTCCCAGCTGAGCTATGCCAGCAACTACTACATATCAGACTTTTTTATATAGATAGGTAGAGGGTAAAGTGCGGGGTAAACTAACCAATCAGAGGACAGAGAAGATCTGCCACAGGCCACGCCAAAACCCCTTACAGCCGAGCGAGCAGGATTCAGAAACCGAGCGCGCACAGAGGCTGCCGCGTGCGCACATTTTCCTCTGCCGTGTGCTCGTTGACAACGCGCGCACGCAGGTTTGTCACTTGTGCACTCACAGACACAGTTTGCTCCCTCTCAGTGCACAAATGACCTCTCGCCATGTATATTTTCGCTCGCGAGTCCCGTTCACACGCGCGCTGTGGACCCAATCCGCGTGCACGGGTTGTGGCACGCTTCAAACGCCATAGGTTTCTGCCTAAAATGTAATTTAAAGAACAAATAAACAAACGAAAAATGTCTATAAACTGAACCGCTTTAAGCTTTTTAGATTTCTATGGCTAGTTTTTAACAAACTTACGTTTAAAACTTCGTAGCTCTCCCCATTTTCTCTGCCTGTTGAAAATCCACAGCCGGCGCGCAAAGCATGCTGGGATAGCCTTGTTCTGCGAGGAGACAACGAAGCGGTTAGCTAACGCTTCACAATGCAACAAAATGATGACATTTCATCAACTTACCGGAGAAAATCCTTCCGAAACACCGAAAATGAACTGCAGTCAATGCAGCAGCGGGGCTGTTTGGAACTATTCGAAACTACATGAACCACGTGACTTCCCCATTCCATAGGAGTCTATTGGAGTGTCGTAACTCTCTACAGCTCTGACAAAACCCCGCCCTCCTCTCCCAATGATTGGACAGGAATTCGAGAAACGTGATTGGCAGCCAAGACTCGTGCTCTCATTGGTTCCACCCAAGTTCCTCCCACTGACGCTAGAATCAAGACAAAAAGATTCGTAACACTGTAGGATTTGAGGTGCGTACCTGTAGAATGAACAGAGGCGGTTTTACTATTAGGCATAGGTAGGCGGCCGCCTGGAGCCCCCTTGTGTTGGAGGGGCCCCTAGCCCTGACCGCCGGCACCCCTCTGTTAATGCCACAATATTCTTATTACCAACCTGTGGCTGCAGACAGGATTGGACATGCTTCTCATTACCATAATTCCTGAACCGTTCAAGATATCATTAACATTCCAAAAGTGCTGAAAAGATAAAAATGGGGCTTTTCGTGCATATACAATACATTACGGTAGCCACCGGGATTTCCTGTCTTGAGCGCACCGAATCACAACACAGATTCAGAGACGTGCTGAGTTTGTCATCCAAAATGCTCCGTTTTATAACTTTTGAATGGCTGATCAGATACAAAAAAATCCAACGGTTCCTAAAAGTACATAAAAGCAGCTTTCCAACGATCTATAGCATGAAGCAATCAGAGTTAGAGAAAATATCGCTACGAGGGGAAATCCTGCTGTACAGCCTGATTGAAACGGAGCACAGCGCCGCGGTGAAAGTGGATAACGGAACGGGTAAGCTAATCAGCATAAAAACCAGCATGAAATTATGGTAATGCCTTAAAGAAAATCAACATGATCCATTAGGTGTCCCAGAAGGCTTATATCTGAAGACAGTGACCACGAAGAAGGACAGATCTCCGGTGAACCAGGATATGAAGGTTTGTTCAGTCTTTATTTTTTTATTTGAACAACCCTCAACTGTTTGCTAATTGTAAGATTCAGCTTCATTCCAGCATTATTTATCTTTTTACCATAAATAATTAAATTTGCTAAAACTAAAGTATTTGGTATAGCAGTGCACGGTGTGCCAGAGAAGAACCCCATGGCGGTGTGAGGTGTGCAGGACTCTGCCTGCAGCTGGAGAGAAACTGCTTCAAGGTCTACCACATCAAATAAAAATGTCTGAAAGTTTACAAAAATAAATGGTCTTAAAAACTGCTAAAAAAAAGATACCAAGGTTCACACTGTTTTAACAATAGATGCATTTCAGTTCAAAGTTTAAATTGTTTGCCCAGTAATTTTGAAGTTCCTGTTCAGTAATAAATGTAAAAAAATTAAATCTCTTTTTTGCTTTTTGCACTTTTAAGCTGATTTTTTAAAGGCTTTAATAGAAATAAATTATAAATACAAACCATACACTAAAAGCTGAGGTTGTTCTGAAAGAGTTACACACACTTTGTACTTTTTATTACAATTTTACAGCCATAAGATTAAAAATATACCAGGCAGCCCTGTTATAATTATGGCCATAAGAGGGTTATTAAGACGGCGATGCACAAACAGGAAGTGATTGGTAGTCATTCCACTCCAATCCAGTTGGTGGCAGTAATGCGCCAAATTGTTGTTTGCCAAGTGCCATAAGACCACAAATAAGAATAATAAGAGAGGCTGGAGCGTTGGTAACAAACTCAGAGATGGTCAAAACATGAAGCATGAAACTGAGTTACCCTAGTGGCTCCAATAAGAGGAAGAAGCAGCATGCTTCAGAAAAGCTTTTATCTTCACTTCTGAAAGTGACGTAGTTTTTCGATGTAAACATCAAAAGGAAGCAGAAAGGAAAGACAATGGAAAATGTTTAAAGGGAGGAAAACATAGACCAAAATGGAAAATAGAAGAAAAAAAATAACTAAGGCTAAAGCACAAGAGCACTGACAGGAAGAAGAAAGCAGAGCAAATATTGAAAGTGCTCAAAGGGAGGGAAATACAGGAAAAAAGAGGAGGACTAATAAAAAGGGAGAATAACTCATGTCAGAAGAGGGGGGAGTTTCGCAAATCCAGTTAAAGGTAAGATTGTTGAAAATTTGGTGTAAGGGGCCCCATGTCTGTGTTCGCCTTGGGCCCCCAAATTGCTAAATCCGCCCCTGAGAATGAAATGTGTGTTTTGACAGCTTTGATTTCAAACTTGTACCTTGATTTTTTTCAATTTGGAAGTATGCTAGTTACAAAACGAAAGTTTCGTGTTTCTGAATGAATGTTTGATGTTACAAAATGAGTAGTAAATGTACAAAATAAAAGTTTGATTTTACAAAATAAAAAATACATGTACAAAATACAATGTTCCTGTTACAAAACAAGAAATACAAGTACGAATTGAGAATTACAAGTTAGAAAACTAAAGTTACAAGTTACGAATCCAAAGTTACAAGTTACGAATCCAAAGTTACATGTGATGAAACATGTTCGAAGTTACAAAACTTGGTACAAGTTACGCTGAATATTGTCCCAATCATAGCTCCATAATTCACAACCTGGTAGTGATGAGCACAGCTGCCCTGGGGCACAGACAGGGGCGTGTTTATGAATAATTTATGAACCGACACACACACACGCACACGCGCACACACAGCCTCTGATCCGTGCTATTATGCGCAGCTGTTGTCTCTCTCTCTCGGACTCCGCGTTGTTTCCAAGTGGGTTTTTCCACCAAAATTCTGATTCGGACTCAGATCCGTTGCTTCCCGTTGGAGAGTCCGAATCAGAATCACAGCCCAAGCCGTGATCTTGTATTATGAGGTAGAGGTAGGAGGTAGAGGGATCCTCTTACATATGATGGAGATACAAAAGCGTTTCTCAGAGAGGGCAGGCGACGGATCAGCAGCAGATCCAGAGGAAGGAAACGGTTTCTGCTTACCTTACTTTAGAGCTCCGATTGTGTCGAACAACGCAGATTATCTTCTCTGCATCTGGAAAGAACAACTCGCACCTAAATGCTGATGAAGCTTTGAAATCCTTGTGATGGTTTACAGCGCTCGTCCGGCTCTGCTGCAGGCGTTCGGAGCGCCTTCTGTTGTCTTCGTCTTTCAGGTTTTGTGGTTGTTGGCAAACAGCTTGAGGTGCATTACCGCCACCTACCGGTTTACAGAGGAGACTGACACGCATGCACACACACACCTCTATTATATTTTGTAGTGGGTAGAAAAGCAGACCGTTTTCCTTGATCCACCACCTGAACAGTATTAGGACCTCATATGACCTGAGTCATGTCACATCCATCCTGCTTTCTCACGTCTTCATTCAAAAGTCAGCTGTAGTAGTCCGACCGAGCTAACAACCTCTGATGGTTGCCACTTCTTTCTTCCTCATCTTTTTCTTCTCTTGTTGATCGGATTGAATGATCAACAAAGAGTAAAATAGAAGAAGTTTGAAGAAAATACAAATGAACTTCTCAAAGAAACATTGTATAGCTTGGCGGTTTAATTTTATAAGTTTTTGAGGTTTTAGGGTTTAAAAATGCCAAACTTTTAATGTGGAGATCTCAGTTGTATCAAAGCGAATGTTTCACTTCATTTTAGTCTTGATGACAGGAAGTTGTGTTGGTCCAAAGAGTGTTGGTGTCTGACTTAGAGACAAGAAGAAGAACACAAGACAGGATTAAAAAGCTTGGGTGCATCAGCACTCAGAGAGGAGTTTGCTGCCAAGAGGAAGCGACAGGACCACAGCTCCAGCTCGGTTCTAACCCAGTTCATTATCTTTCCAGTTCTTTGTCTTCTCTCTCTCTCTCTCTCTCTCTCTCTCTCTCTCTCTCTCTCTCTCTCTCTCTCTCTCTCTCTCTCTCTCTCTCTCTCTCTCTCTCTCTCTCTCTCTCTCTCTCTCTCTCTCTCTCTCTCTCATAGTGGTTCAGAACACTACACACACCCCTAAAATAAAATTGAATAGACTTGATCCCACAGTGGGGAAATTCACTTGTTACAGCAGCTTAAATACATAAGAGAATATGTTGAAGAACAATAATAGCAAAGGTACATGTATACACACATTTGCAGTAAGCCAGCATTGTAACCTTCAACCACTAAAATCTACAAGAAAAATGGAAAACGGGTTGTAGAACAGTGCAGCATACTTTGAGGGGTATAGAAATACTTTGTAAAGCTGGTATTGCACGAGTATTGAACACATACTGAATACTGCATTGGTGTTATTGTTTAACAGGATAATGCCAGTACTGCTTAAACTGAGGAGTTATACACTCTTACTGCAGAGAGGAAGAATGACCTACGGCAGTGGTTCCCAACCTTTCTCCCAAGGGACCCCGTTTTTTACCAGTAAAATATTTGACGACCCCCTCCCATTCTCTCTTCCAGTACAAACAGTATTAAGAAATGATAAAACTGTTCAAGCACATTTTAATATGCTTTGATTCAACAGATAACAGTAATAGTAGTCTCCAGTACAGAACAAAGTCATTAACAAAACCAAACAGAGCATAATGTGCTTGACAGTTTGTATTACTTTTCTGAACACATTGTTTCTTGTAAACACTGATAAATCAATCATTCCTTTCAATAAACGTTTGACACATAAAAATACACCGAGCAAAATGTACTTAAATGTGTATATTACTGTTTATACTAGATTATTTACTGTAAACGCTGTGATTAATCAACCAGTCCTATCTTTAATGAACTTTTGACACTTGAAAATAAAACAGTGAGCTGAGCAAAATGTTCTTAAAAGTGTGTTACTTTTTCTGTACTAATTATTTGCTGTCTTAATATCAGTAAACTTTTCACTCATGAAAAAAATGTTAGCAAAATGTAGGCTATAAATAAGTAATAAATGAAGTTTTAACCCCTTGAAGTTGAGAGGTCCTGGCGACCCACTGAGAGGCTTTGGCGCCCCCTTGTGGGGGTCGGGACCCCCAGATTAGGAACCACTGACCTACGGTAGCGTTCTGTTTTACATCTGGGATGTCTGCCTCTGAAGGAGCTGTCCATGGCCTCCACAGTGGAATGCAGTGGATGGGAGGGTTTTTTTTAAGGTAGTGGTCATCTTCCCCAGCATCCTGCTTTCACATATCACACTAAAACATCTCCATCCCCGTCTTACCCTGAAACTTCAGCTCTGCCCTCCCTCCTCACTGGAACACTGACATGAATGATGTGTCAGAGGAAGATCTCAGTAATTTGGCTGGCCTTTGCAGAGAGAGAAAGAATACTAGAAACATTTGTACATGCCTGGGAGCGATGACACTGAATGGTCTTGATGTGCTTCAGGCTCTGAAATGTGGAATTACTGGTTGGTTTTTAACATGATGCTCTTATCTATCATGTCCATGACAAACTGTTGGGCACACCACACCAATGAGAATTGGGTTCTGTGGCAGTAAATGCAACACATTTCTCAGAGAAATGGTTTCTTGAGAGTGTTTGAGTGCAATAATGTGCAGTGGTGTCTTTCTGTTGTCTCGTTTGGTGTTTTACCCTCAACTTTGTTTTGCACACACCCTGGTTAAACTTTTGTTGTTCTTTTCATATCTGCTAGGATGTTATGGTTAATTAAAGTCTTTTCAGTTGTTGCTGACGAGGAGGAAAACATGTTTTTTTACTTTGCTTAACCTGAGTTACATATTGTGCTGAATGGAAATGTCTTAAAGGAAAAAGCCAAGCAGAGAAGGTCAAAGAAACAAATGACTGTTGCAAACGAAGACTGACATGTCAAACTTTGATTGAGCACACATAGAAACAAAGACTGCAAATAATTAGCATCCAAATGCATCAAATGTAGAATCTAGCTGCTACACCTTCTTCCAGTCAATGTACAGGATTAGGATTGGGAACGATGTCTCTGCTTCATGGTTGCTCCCTTCCTTAGAGACTCCACAGTACCAGATTTCTTTGAAAGCTTCACGAGTGACTTCAACCATCACACCGCTTACAATAGCTTCAGTCTTGGTGCAGACACTGCTAATGACATCATCATTTAGTTTCTGTTGAAGAGAAATAAACATTAAAGTTTGTATTTTCTATAGATGTAAAACACAATTCACCTGACTGACAGATTTTGTCTTTGAACCTTGATTAAAAACCATGCTTTCGTTCTTTTTTAAACACAGAAACAGTTTTGTTTACCTGTTTGTAGCTACGGTTTCGCCGACAGCTGCCGGCTTCTTCAGGCTGACGCTGATGGTGGCGCGTCACTTCCTTCTCCGTTTATCTGCGGGCAGCAGAGGACGTTGTCGCCCTCTACTGCCCGCTCTCCCCTCTCCGACGATGCAGTCCCATGCGTGGTCCAGCGTGTAAACTCCGTCGTCCCTGTTCGTGGTCCCACATCCACGTCTCCTTATCTCTATTGCTTCCTTGATCCATCTTTTGTATTTTTGTTGTTCAGTGGTTATGATCCGTGTGCTGTCCCAGTCCATTATATGGTTTTCTCTTAAGCAATGATCTGTTACGGCTGACTTTTTTATTGTACTTTCTGCTTCTTCTTTTGCTGCTCTTGTGTGTTTACGATTTGCCTCTTTCTCGCACTCCTTTCTGTGTTCTATTGTCCGTGTATTGAGTTGGCGTCCGGTTTCTCCTATGTATGTTTTATTGCAGAGTTTGCATGGGATTTCGTAGATGACTCCACATTTTTGTCCAGCTGATATTTTGTCTTTTGGGTGTACTAATCTGTTTCTAACTGTTGTGTATGGCTTTGTTGGTGTGTTTATGTTGTGTTTTTTCATTGTTGCTCTTATTTTTTCCGTTATGCCTCTGATGTATGGTAGGGTTATCACTGGTTTTGGTTCTTGTCTTTCTGGGTTTCTGGTTCTTTTTTTGGGTTGTTCTTTGCTTTCTGTTTTTGTTTGTCGTTTTCCTTTGTATATCGCCCATGTCGGGTATGCGCAGGTCTTTAAAGCGTGTTGTATGTGTTTGTCCTCTTGTTTACGGTCTCTCTCTTCTGTTATTATGTTTGCTCGGTGATATAATGTTCTGATTACTGACAATTTGTGTATGGTGGGATGTTCTGATGTCCATAATAGATATTGGTCTGTGTGTGTTGGTTTCCTGTATGTGTTTATGTTTAGGGTCCCGTCGGTCTGTCTGGTGATTTTCATGTCCATAAATGCTATGCTGCCTTCTGTTTCTAACTCATAAGTGAATTTTATGTTGCCCGTGTCGTCAATATTGTTTAAGTGTTGTGTTAGTGTTTCTGTTTGACCTTTTGGTATGATTTCCAGTATGTCGTCTACGTAGCGTTTCCATAGTTTTATTTTGCAGTTTGGGGGGGGCGGTGGCTGTGGCTTTTTGTTCCAGGTCTTCCATGAAAAACTCGCACAGGGTGGCTGATAACGGGTTACCCATGGCGAAGCCTTCCAGTTGTTTGTATATTGTGTTGTCGTTCGTATGTGAAGTAAGTGGAGTTAGCTACCAGTCCTATCAGTTGTGCTATGTCATCTGCTGTGAGGTTTGTCCTTTTATGTAAAGTTTTGTCTTGTCTGATTCTGTTAACTACTATGTCTATGGTTTTTTGGGTTGGTGTTTTTGTGAACAGAGATGTGACGTCATGTGAGATGAGTATGTCGTTGTCTTCTATTGTAATTTCCTTTAGTTCTTTTGCCAATTCTATACTATTTTTGCAGTGTTGGTCTGTATTTCCTAATAACGGGCTGATGATTCTGCTGATATCTTTTGCCATGTTGTATGTTGGTGTACCTATGCTGTCAACTATTGGTCTAAGTGGGGTGTTTTGTTTATGTATTTTTGGTGTTCCATATATTCTTGGTGTTATGTTTGCTGTGGGAATCCAGTGTTTGTACATTTTTTCTGTTATTTTGCCTTTTTCGTGCAGTGGCTTCAGTAATTTTTTCATGTTTTTCTTAATGTTTTCTGTTGGATCTTTTTTAAGTATTTCATATGTATTTTTGTCCTCTAGCATCTGTTTCATCTGTTGATTATATTTTTCTCTGTCCATAACTACTGTGGTTCTTCCTTTATCTGCCGGTAGAATAATTATCTGTTCATTTTTGGATAAAGCTGTCATGGCTGATTGTTCTTCTTTTGTAATATTGCTGTGTTGAATTTGGCTGTTTTTTAATATCCCAACTACGTTATTTCTGAGTTCTGCTTTCTTTCCCTCATCTGTGATCTGTTGGCATGCTAGTTCTGTTGCTACGATGAATTCATCATATGGTA